AAACTATTTCGGTCCCGGCAATAATTGGCTCTGGATCAGCCTGATTGATCGCCACAGCTTCTACTACCGACAACACTTCGGTAGCCGCCACTTCGGGCACAGACTTTGGACTCTCCGGCATAGCTGCCGAGGTAGCACTCGACCCCACCTCGGTCGATTTTTTCCCAACATTCTTCTGACCAGCTGTCTTCTTCACCAACGCACGAACAAGATCCCTCCTCATGGCGTCGTTTAACCTCAGATCACGGCTCTTACCGACTTTAGATTGAAGGTCCTTGTTCGGAAATTTACGTCTGAACTCTTTGGCTTCCTTGACAGAGTGTAGCCCAAGAAACCGAGGAGAGGATAATATACTGCATATCAACAAGAGACAATAGTTACAAACAGTTGTGTCATATATACAAGAAAATTCGACATTTTTACCAGCTAAAACTTTTCTTACCGGGGTCAAATTTCGATGTCGTGACTCCCAAAGACAAACCAGCCGCTTCAAGTTTCGAATCAACCACCAGCTTGCGATAATCCCTCTCTGCTTTATCCAAACCAGCCAAGGTTATTAACTTCCCACCGAATTCCGGGCTTAACTTCGGTTCTTTTTGCTTTGTCTCTTTTTCTACAACAGAGTAAAAGTTCCGACCTGTTAGTACACAGAACAATACGAGAATCAGACAAGCATATCCGAATTGACAAGACATAAAGTAAAACTCACTGGCTCCGGAATGAATTAACATGGGAATTGTCATCCCATCAATTCGGCGCTCATGGAAGAAATCCACCGACTGCCATTCACCGCCTATCCACACCCATTCCTCCTGAAAACCGTGGAGACTCTCCGGAATCTCAGTAACAATTTCCCCGACTTTGATACCGTGTTGCGGCTTCGCCCCGGCGAAGAAGCAACAAGACGATTCGGCCACCCTCCTCTTCGGGCTTTGCTTAAAAGCGAAAATACTCCTCATCTCATCGCACGACGGTAGTCCCTCACCCCTCTCGTGCAGTAACACCATTAGCCCGATTATCTTCTTCCAGCTATTCGGCGTGATTTGGCACAACGGTAACTCCCAACTCCGGAGGTATTCCGTGATCAAATTTGGCAACGGGAACCTCAATCCCGACCTCAGACTCTCCGCGAAAACGCCCACACAACCCGGAGGGGGACTTGTTATTCTCTCCCCGGGGTAAGGAGCAAAGATTTTCACTGAGGGAGGAATCCGAACTTGTTCCCTCAACATGACGACGTCAGCGTCGGTAAAAATACTTGGCTCACCAATGAAATCGATCGCCGGATCGGGCCACCTCCTCACCGGTCTTCTCCAATGCGGCACCGCGAGGTCGGTTGCATTATGCTCAACTACCACGTCACCATCCTCGTCGTTTAACTGGATATTCAGATGCCTTACCAACGACGGGTCCCACCGGTGATATTCAAAGGCCAACTCGACCAATTCTGAATCGTGATAAACATCTAGCGGAACCGACTCCGTGCTCGATGAACTTGCCACCGCCTTTCCCTTTCCTTTCGACGCCATCGTACGATTGAACGAAATACAAGAAAAATAACACAAGAAACTGAAGGAAAAGCTTACCGAAAATCTCTCACACAGCAAGCAAAGAAGATTCTTCAGAATACCAGATGAACTCAACAACAAGTGATATGAAAGCTCGAAAAATAATAGCACAGGTGAAGAAAACCCGATCAAATATCGCCAAACCCTATTTATAAGCGTCAAATTGTGACCGTTGAGTATCGTCATTGGGGGCGCGTCGAACCGACGCGACCCCTAATCCTAACCGACGCCGCCCCTTCATCTGATGAGACACCTACTGTTACACGTGGCTACCTATTAAAGTCGACCGTTACCTCATTTAAGACCATTACGGCGCGACCGTTCGGCCTAAACATTTACTCGTTGACCGTTACGACCGTTCACCACTTCTGTCGTTAACTGCTTGAAGATTATCCAAAATTATCCAAGTGTCTTCACCTCGGTATACAGTCTACACTTCGTACAGATGATTCACTTCGGTTACGTCGGCAGATAAACCGAAGATGACCCACCGAACACCATAGACCACATCCTACCTCCGACTTCTTACCGATCCAGGGTCTCTACATATCTGACGTAGC